CCAAAGTTCGAAAGTTGTTCCTTTCAGGAGCATCTAAATCTAATTTTCACGCATTTTTATTTGCTCGAACTATTTACAATGCTTGAAAAGTAGAATCTAATCTAATTTTTAAGCAGGTGGGCTTTTATGGAATTCTTTGCTGTATTTGCTTCTAGAGAGTGCGTGCTGCTTGTACAATGAAAGCTTTGTATATAATTTATGTGTTGCTTTCTTAAGGTTGCTTTCTTAAACCACACCCCCAGCAAAACCCTCTGTCTAGAATAAAGTCAGAATCAATTGAGAATTCAATTTGCTTTAAAGTAGCAATGACTTTGCATTGAACTAGAAACGAATTAATATTTTATTAGAAGTAATCGTTTTTTAATTTGGAAGAACGATATTAGATTTGCACACAATTGAAATTTAATTCGGGTATAAGATGTAAACTAGCGGAAACTAAAAGTTAGTTACAAAATAACTTTGAAATATACACTACATTGAATGTGACATACAACTATATATATAAATTAGAACCAACTTCGGGATAAGTTAAACAGCCATTTAGACTTAAATTAAGTCTGAATTGGAAGTGAAGTAAGATTGAATTAACCTTTCATTGCTTCAACTAGAATTGGACAAGAATTAAGACACAATTGAAATAGAATTGCTTAACCTGCAGCTCGATTAGAAGTCAATTACTGCAACCATGAATTAGAATTAGACTTGGGTGAGCATTAAAAACAGACATTTACAATTCTACTAAATTAGAGTTGAATGCAAACTCAATTAGAACTGATAGTTGAGATCAAATTGGAGATTGAAACCAAACTTCAATTAGAAATCTATAGGTTCCCTTTTGAATTCAATCAGGTTCAACTGGAATTCTAAATTTAGGATTAAGTTAGACTTAAATAGTAGTTAAACTAGAGTTCAATAGAGTAATACAAATGATCATAAACAGCTTTACGTTTATGAGTTCATGCCAATTTTGATTTAGAAAATCAAGCTAAAGTTATAAAACATTGAAAATAAAATTGGATTAGATCTAAATTTGAAGAGCATTGGAAACACAAGAAACTTTTACATTTCATTGAAAATTTGATTGTATCTAAGTCAACTTCCAAGAAACATTCACAGGTTGTGCAAACGCCCAAAGGACCAAAACACAGACAAAACCAAAAACGCAAAAACCGTGAGGAGAATATTTGGTTCCGCCTCAAAAGATGTTTTTGGTGTTCATTGTGTTTTTTTCGTATTTTGGTTGTGAAATCCAAAAGCACAAAACTTGTTTTTGTATTTTGCAGGTTTATTGTACTAGAATACTGCCAAAAACAAAACCAGAAGGTATTATTGTTTTTCCAATAATTTATACTCATAGCAAATCATCAAAGAACACAAAATTGTATTTTTTTGGTTGTAGCCAGCCTTCTTTAACCACAAGGCATGAAAAAAACAAACATCACAAGGGTTTTTGGTTTTTGTACTTCAAAACCAAAAACGAACACACAAAAAAATCATTTGAGGGTGAGCCAAACATTCTCTTCAATGTTTTTCAGTTGTTTTGGTTTTTTGTTTTGTTGCGGGTTGAGTAAAGTGCATTGTTTTTTATTAGAATTTGTTATATCAAATTGTTTGCATAAAGCACTGTAAATTACCAGTAAATTTGATGAACGGTTTTTTTGGGGTGTGTGTGTGTGCCATATATATATATATGCATGTAGCATAAAGCATCATTGAATCATAGACCATTACCAAGCGGCTTGAAACGCGGTGGACAACCAGTACCTTCGCCATTCTGATGCTGCACGCCAAAGCTCAACAAGACTGAAAGCGCATGCTCAACGCTCTCATGGGGAACATGGAGAAACAGTGGCAAAAAGACAACAGGAGCTACTAACAGCATCCTTATTACTAGTAGCGATGGCCTCCAACCTAGTAGCTTCTTGCTACTAGTAGTAATGGCCTCCAACCTACTAGCAAATATAGCATGCATGAATGAATTGTAGAGGTAAAGAAACACCGACAAGCAGAAACCGGAAAAGATTTCGATCGAACAAAGGATTGTATCCGCGTTTCACCCTGGCAGCATAGGTGTCTATTGTCATGTGTTGCCTAGGCTAAACGCTTGCACACGCATGTTGGTCTTTGGCATTTGTTTAAGAGTTTGCCGACATGGTCCTTGTCCAATGTAGCCATGCATCAAATGCATGGGGCTGAGACGTTGAAGGGCATGCCATACCGGGGACCTTTTTTTGCCCAAGAGCAACGCACTGTTGGGATCATGACACTGAGGCACTTTTCGCCAACCTTTCCGCCAGGCAGGCTTCAAGGATTTATCACACCTCACTGAAACCAAGTGGAGAAGATACACTTAGAGAACATTGCTATTGGGTCGAGGCCATCGCTATTAGGTTGGAGGCCATGGCTATTAGGTTGGAGGCCATCGCTACTAGGGTGGAGACCATCGCTCTTATGATACCCTTTCGATGAATCGATATTGACTCCGTGGAGATTTGGCAGACTAAAGCTGAGGAAAGATCCAAGACACAACTAATGCTGCGTACTGCACTCATCTAGAGAGTCCGTTGAAATTGACAAACACATCGGTTACGTGTTGCGTGTGAGAGGTTTGAGGTGCTTACTTTCATTGAGGATGAACAACAGCCTCTTCCAGC